TCATATAGGTAATATAGAAAAGATCGCAAAATGTATGGACAAACAATTTATTACTTTGCCGTTTTTCAAAATATTTTCAGCTACACTAAACATTTTCTATTTTTCAGAATTTCGGTTTTATTTTAATGAATATTGGAATACCACTCAGATGCTGTGTGCTGATATTAATTTCCTTTATATAATTATACCCTTGCAGGGTATTATAATTTCAGTCAGAAGTTTGCAACGCAGTGAAGGAGACCTTTCCGACCCTTTAAAGAATATATATTCTTGATCAGCATCAACAGCAGAGTCGATCTAGCCATGTCCGTCTGTCTGTCTGTCCGTCTGTCTGTTTCTACGCAAACTAGTCCCTTTAGTTTTAAAGCTATCTAAATGAAACTTTGCATATAGTCTTCTATATGCTCTCACTGCTATATATGTCGGAACGGGCCGGATCGGACGACTATATCATATAGCTGCCATACAAATGTTCGATAAATTTGTATAAAAATAATTATAACTTTGCTGTTTTTCAACATTTTTGCACCATTTTTGAGATATGGCCAATTTATATTATTTCAGAATTTGTATATTAATTTTATAAAAATCGGATGACTATATGATATAGCTGCATAGAAACAGTCGGTAAATTAATAGGAAAAAAATTATTGCTTCGTTGTTTTTCAACGTATTTTTATCTACTCTGAGATCTAAGCTTTTTTTACTATTCTAGAATTTTGGTATAAATTTCATAAAAATCGAGCAACTATCATATAGCTGCCATATAAACCGATCGGTAAATGTATAAAGCTGGGAATGTAAAACTGTAACTGTCAAACTGTAAACATAATAAGTATAGGTAAAATGTAATGAAACTCTGTTTTGTGAGTGTTTTCATCATTTAAATCTATAATATAAACATCAAAACCAATCTGCAAGGGTATACAAACTTCGGCGTTCCGAAGTTAGCTTCCTTTCTTGTTTTTCTTTTAATACTTTTTAAAAAGTTTTATTACTGTAAATTCTACTACATTGTCAAAAAGTTGAATTAATCAATACAATAAACTTTTAGACAAATAAAATACAATAGTGTAGTTCGAATCGAATTAATCCAAAAAATAATTACTAAACTGCAACTAAACACTCAATTTAACAAATTTAAAAGCTTAGTTGCTGCAAGTAACAATAAAACACTGTATTGATCATATAAATTCAGTAAATATTACATATGTATGTACACTATTTACATTCATTTAAAAAGATATATAAATGCAGGAAAACATCAAAATTGTGAATAAATCGAAAACAAACATATTCCTATGTATATAGATATGTACGTATGTATGTTATCTTCGTTGTTTTGGAAGCGTGTTACACATATACATTTGTATATAGATACATACATACATATATATTTCCCTAAGAGGGTGGAAAAATCGTTCAATTTAAAAAAAAAAAAAAAAAAAGGGAGGGTTAATTAATTTGTTTTAACTTTATGTACTTTCTTCTGTCTTTGACAAGTAGGCACCTATGTTAACGTTAAAACTAAACTCATGAATTTTTCATTAGCCGTTATTTTTTACACAAAGTTAACTCTCATTAACTGCAAAAGGGTGGCGAATTTATATACTTTGTCAATTCATTAAATTTTATCTATTGTAGGTTGGAAGTTACGCAAAAGAATTTATAGCATATTTTTATCTTATTCGTTTTCTATATTATACGAACTAATGTACAATTGCTAAAATAACAGATGAATAATTTTTACTTTTAACTGAAGAAAATTTGCAACGGCAACTTTAAGTCTGGTCTGTCTTAATAAATCGATATTCGATAACCAATCGTTTATATTGGGTGTAAAGATATCGGTTATATTTCTTTAAAGCTTAGTACTAACATAAGCAAAATATTTTTCAAGCGCCAAACTACATATAAAAACAAAAAAAGAAACTAGCTTCGTATATTTTAATTAAATATTTGAGAAACGGAACTAATTTCTTATTTGAAAGTAAACTTTGAGGAATATCTTTTATATCTCGGGCAGTTCCTATGACAGCTATTAGATATTGTCATTAGATTTTCATAAAATTTAAAACGAAAATCTTGACAGATAATGTCAAAGGATGTATTTAGAAAGGGCAAAGCTATAATTCGGTTTCTACAAAATTTTATACCCTTGCACGGTATTATAATTTCAGTCAGAAGTTTGCAACGCAGTGAAGGAGACGTTGTCGACCCTATAAAGTATATATATTCTTGATCAGCATCAACAGCCGAGTCGATCTAGCCATGTCCGTCTGTCCGTCCGTCTGTCCGTTTCTACGCAAACTAGTCCCTCAGTTTTAAAGCTATCTGAATGAAACTTTGCATATAGTCTTCTATATACTCTCACTACTATATATGTCGAAACGGGCCGGATCGGACGACTATATCATATTTCGATAAATTTTTAGAAAAAAAATTATAACTTCGCTGTTTTTCAATATTATTACATCATTTTTGAGATATAGCCATTTTATATTATCCCAGAATTTTTGTAAAAATTTTATGAAAATCGAACAACTATATCATATAGCTGCCATAGAAGCGATCCGTAGATGTAGAGAAAATGTAAAGCTGGGAATGTATAAATGTAACTGTCAAACTGTAAACATAATAAGTATATGTGAAATATTATGAAACTCTGTTTAGTGACTGTTTTCGGCATTATAATTTATAATATAAATATGAAAACCAATCTGCAAGGCGTGCCAAAGTTAGCTTCCTTTCTTGTCACATTTGTTTTATTGCTGCTATATTATATAGTCATCCGATCCTGCTCGTTCCAACATATATAGAAGTGGGAGAAAACTGGTTGAACACGGCAAAAATGTTGTTGTCAAATCTGAGGAGGGGTCAGAATAAATTTTTTATAAAATAACTACCAGCCAGAATGATTTTGTGGTGGTGTGGAATAAACATCAATAGACTATTAAGTAAACTATTTTTTTCCTTTTGTAAATAAGATCTGATTTCATATAAAAACAGCCATTTACTTTTCATTTCGGCCGAGAAAAGGTGCCCGTTTTTCAAATCGAAAAAATCTTTCGTTTTCGATTACCGGAGCACCAATTTCTCGTTTTCAAAAACGAAAACGAAAAAATCTTGCCGTTTTCGATTACCGGAGCAGGCCTGATATTTTAAAGGGTCGAAAATGACTCCATCACTGCGTTATAAATTTCTTACAAAAATAAAATACCCTGCAGCGGTATAAAAAAACGCAGCAGACTTAAATATCAGCAAAATATAGCTCAACGAAGCCGTAGCCGTAGAACAGAGAAAATGGTATTTTGTCAGGTGCTACGGCTGTCGCGTACCTCTGTTTCTTCTTTCTCTTCTGTCCATGTCTCTTTCTGTGCTCTGGATTCTGTCCTTGTCATCTTCTGCAGAAGGAAGTCGACAAAAACAGTGGCACGCGACAGCCATAGCCCATGATGGAATTCCATTTTGCTGTAGTCCGATATCAAATGATTTCAGCTGGCCTGTCTTGACTTGTTTTGCCTGATCACTACTAAGCATACAAATTGTCCTGCTGTAATCTACCACCAATAGAAACTGGCCTGAAGCACGACTATCTTAGTACCCAACAACGCGAAAGATCATAAACCCAAATTATGCAAACGGAAAATGTAAAGTCATGCCGTCCGTTAGTTAGACTTAATAGAGTAATCCCTTATACTGTCTTCCCACACAGCGCATTTGTGAGTAACGGTTGGGATTTTTCACAAATGCGAAACTCGTGTTCCCACAGAGCTGCGTTAAACAGAAACTAAAATTCCTTGTTATCCAATTAATTTAAATTTAGTGCGGATAAAATCTGACGCATTCTTTGGTTTTATTGTTTTTAAACAGCCGAAATAGTTGATAAACTATTCATTTTACTCCCACATCGCTTCAGCGTTGTTTACGTTTTCATGAGCCACAGCTGATCGATCAGCTGTTCGGATGCTGATGCACTTTAACGCAGCTCTGTGGGAACACGAGTTTCACTTTTTTTTTAAAGACAGTATTATAGGGTCTTCCCACACAACATTCAAGCACATTCAACATCCGTTGAACAAACGGTCCATAAGGTTTTGCCGTTCCGAATTTTCCCAAATGGACCGGCGTTAGTTCAACATTAAAATCTAACCACGGTTTGCTTGGCGATAGTTAGGCGATAGTTTTTCGGTGCAACTCTGATTCTTCTTCTTAATTTGACCATTCACCACGAAAATGTAAACAAACTTGGCGAGGAACAAATGAGATATGGAATTTAAAACGTGGCGCCAAAGCACAAGCATGCCCAAAATAGTTGTTGACGTTTTTTCAATATGTCCCCAATTGTTACTATTTAATATAAACCGCCTGCCTCTATCTTATTTTAAAGATTTTGGATGCCTATACCACCTATAGACACTCTTCGGGGAATTTGCTCTTTGTTAGAGAAAAATCATTAGAAAAACTAAAATTCCTTGTCATTAAATTCATTTAAATTTAGTGCGGATAAATTCTGACGCAATCTGTGCCTTTTGCTGTTGTACAACAGCCAAAATAGTTGGTAAATGCTCCATTTCAAATTTGCAACTGTCAATTCGACAGCCTTTGTTTACGTTTTCATGAGCCACAGCTGATCGATCAGCTGTTCGGATGTTAAATGTGTTTTAATGTTGTGTGGGAACACGAGTTTCACATTTGTGAAAAATCCCAAACGTTCCTCACAAATGTGCTGTGTGGGAAGACAGTATTAGATTTCGATGCGCTTTGATGCCGGTCCATTTGAGAAAATTCGGAACGGCAAAACCTTATGGACCGTTTGTTCAACAGACGGTGGCTGCGCTTTGACGGTGTGTGGGAAAACCCTATTACTCTCCGTTTTTGCTGATCATGATGCATGAAATCTTGCTTGATGTTTTCATTCAAAATTTTTTCCGATATTTGCGGTCCCTGAAAAATATATCTATATATCACAGTTTTAAAAGCCATCGATAAAAGTAAAATCGATGTTTTCGCATCTCTACAGGTTCTTGAGAAAAAATTGTGTATTATTAAAGCTAAACCAATAATTTATATATTTAATATATTTTAAAATAACGTTTGGCAGAATGAAATGAGAGTGTTATCTCATATAATTTTGGTTAAGATGTATTAACATTTTCCGCTACAGTTTAATAATTCGGTGAATGTATGTACAAAAGTATGAACATATGTACATATTAATGAAATGTGAAATTGTGTTTTTGTACTATATTCTGAACGTTTATTCGGTAACGAATTATTATTAATTATTTGGAATGATTCTATAAAGCAACATTCATTATATGCAAACATTCATACATACATATGTAACTTACTAAGAAAATAAATTAAGATAAAGCCCACACAATAATTCAGCAGTTTAAATAAAAAATAAGTATTATTGACCAGAAGTTTAAAAACACTATTCCATCCAAAAATGCAAACTTCTGGTTGAAATTATAATGCTATTTTAAACCAAAACAACCAATGAAAAAATAAATAACGAAAAATATCTCGGATATCGGTGTATGTACATATGTTTGTGCATATGTACGTATGTATGTATGTATACCTGAATACTATGGTTGGTTCATTGAAGAAAATCTATCATATTGAACTGTGTGGCAAAAAGTCAATTCGGATTACTGCTGCTACCGGTGAAAGCTTTTTAGACGAAAAACTAATCCTCAAGTCACCAAAAGCCAATTCTTCGCCTCCATCTATAATGTCTATACCTCAGCTTAAGGTCCAGCACATGATTAACCGAAACTCGACGGCCAACCCGGCTGGTGTTACTACTCAAACTAATACCCATAATGCAAGCCAACATCAAGGGTGTCGAGGCGGCAAGCGGCAGGTTCAATATTTCAGCAGGAGCTATGGCTCATCGGCTTTGCTTTATAATCGGCAAGAAGATATGCAGCCGGAATTGTCAGATCCAGATACAAATTCGCTTGTCAGCAATATTCATTTACATCAGCGCAGTTCGACTTCCGATGGCTTTGAGCTTTCAGCCTCTATTCAAGGTAAATAATAATAACGTTTATAAAACTAAAATTAATAATTTTATACAACATTTTAGCCATATCGCTGCCAAATGCCGTGACCAGTTTAACAAAAACGGAGGTTCCCAATTTAAGTTTAAGCACTACTATCTCAAGCAGCTGCAGTAAGGCTAAGGCACAAACTGAACCCATAGTGGATGAGAGTCCCCAACCAATGGAGAATCAAAGCTATTTATTTCACGAACAAATCATCATGTCTGGCCAGCAGAAGAGTGCATTGCAGGATAAGCCAAAAGTTCTTGTTGTTTCGCCCCAGCAAGTTATGATCTTGTATATGCATAAGCTAACTCCCTACGAACGAACAGAAATACTAGCCTATCCCCAGATATATTTTATTGGGGCGAATGCCAAGAAGCGTCCCGGCGTATATGGACCCAATAATTCGGATTATGATAATGAACAAGGTGCTTATATACACGTCCCACACGACCATGTGGCGTATCGTTATGAGATGTTGAAAATAATTGGTAAGGGCAGCTTCGGGCAGGTGATAAAGGCCTATGATCATAAAACCCACGAACATGTTGCTCTTAAAATTGTGCGCAACGAGAAGAGGTTTCATCGTCAGGCACAGGAGGAGATTCGAATTCTTCACCATTTGCGGCGTCATGATAAATATAATACAATGAACATTATCCACATGTTCGATTACTTTACATTTCGCAATCATACTTGCATCACTTTTGAGCTTCTTAGTATCAATCTTTACGAATTGATTAAAAAGAACGGGTTTAAAGGCTTCAGCCTTCAATTGGTGCGCAAATTTGCTCATTCTTTGCTGCAATGCTTGGATGCTTTGTATAAGAGCGACATTATCCATTGTGATATGAAGCCGGAGAATGTTTTACTTAAGCAACAAGGTCGTTCCGGTATAAAGGTGAGCTGTACATATATAAACATAGTTAACGGTGATTTTTTAAGAGCTATAGGAAAAAAAAAATTAATAAATACAGAAAAATTCATGATATCTTTATTAGAACTGATAGTACGGTCCATATAATTTAATATTTAAAGATTATTTTATGCAAATGTTGACCGCGACTGCGCTTGAAATGGTCCATTCGGCTAGTCCAATTTGGGAACACTATATTCAAATAAATAAAATACATGCTTCAATGTTGTCTTCCAATTGAAGCGGGCTTGCCTGTCTATACAGAGCATTAAGGGGGGATATACATGTAAACGGTCTAAATGTAGATATTTTTCGTGAATTTTTTAATGTAGGAAATAGTCAAGCAATCTTCGTGAAACTTTGGAGATAGTTAAAAGTAGAATCGGAGATGATAAAAAAAATGTTGTTATAAACAATATTTTACAAAATGGCGGACCTATGGAAAATATGGCGCAGCGCCTCGAGCCTTGAGTTTCCCGGCTATAGACACGATAGAGCACGTAATTTGTGTCGGAAATCCTCAAACAAAATTTTTTTGTATTCATAACATTTTTACCTTCTATTTGAACCTAAACAAGAACGGAAGCTAACTTCGGCACGCCGAAGTTTGTATACCCTTGCAGATTGGTTTTGATGTTTATTTTTTAGATTGAAATGCTGAAGACACTCACAAAACAGAGTTTCATTACATTTTACCTATACTTATTATGTTTAGAGTTTGACAGTTACAGTTTTACATTCCCAGCTTTATATATTTTATACATTTACCGATCGCTTCTATGGCAGCTATAAGATATAGTTGTCCGATTTTTATGAAATTTATACCAAAATTCTAGAATAATAAAAAAAACGTATATCTCAGAGTAAATAAAAATGCGTTGAAAAACAACGAAGCTATAATTTTATTTCTATTAATTTCCCGATCGTTCCTATGGCAGCTATATCATATAGTCGTCCGATTTTCATAAAAATTTTACCAAAATTCTAGAATAATATAAAATGGCTATATCGCAAAAATATTGAAAAACAGCCAAGTTATAATTTTTTTCTAAAAATTTATCGAACATTTGTACGGCAGCTATATGATATAGTCGTCCGATCCGGCCTGTTCCGACATATATAGCAGTGAGAGCATATAGAAGACTATATGCAAAGTTTCATTCAGATAGCTTTTAAACTGAGGGACTAGTTTGCGTAGAAACAGACAGACGGACAGACAGACAGACGGACAGACGGACAGACGGACAGACAGACAGACGGACAGACGGACAGACGGACATGGCTAAATCGACTCGGCTGTTGATGCTGATCAAGAATATATATACTTTATAGGGTCGGAAACGTCTCCTTCACTGCGTTGCAAACTTCTGACTGAAATTATAATACCCTGCAAGGGTATAAAAACCAAAAAGAAATTGTGACAAAAAAATTAAATTTTGTTTTGAAGGAAAAAACGTCATTTATAGGGATTTCACTTTCTACGCTCTTAAAAAATAGTAATACTCATTTTCATTTAGGTTCAAATAGAAGATATTTTCATGCTGATCATAATAATTTTTGATTCACTCCGATATGTTACAGTTTTTTGTGAATCGTATCCATAGCATAGGTAGAAATGAAAAAATTAGAAGCTGAGAAAAAGACGTTTAAAGTTTTTGATGCGCCCACGTTAACACTTGTATACTTTGCGTGCATACTTGATTTAAGGCACTTAAAGTTGGAATATGAAAATGAAACTTACACAGTATATAATTTAAGTAATAAACTATTTCTTAAAAAAAAAAAAAAAAATTGGGAAACAAAATTTTGGTTTACATGTATATCCTCCCTTAACGTAGCCCCACAAAAAGTAGTCTGAAGGTGTTAAATCGCTAAAAAAAAAAAAAAAATTTTTTTAATTTTAACTTGTAACCAATAAAACAGTAAACAGTGTAACCAATAAAGCGAAGAAGAAAAAAAGTAAAAGCACAACAAAATTATGAAACAAGTAGAAATTAATAAAGTACAGACATATGTAAATAAATAATCTAACAACTATAGAAAATGAAAGTTAAAAATGAAGTTAACTTCGGCACGCCGAAGTTTCTGTACCCTCGCAATTGGATCATTAAGAATCGATCAATTTTAGTCAAATGATTATAAAACCCACAGAAGATATGTATGTATGTATATGAAACAATGTATTCTATGGTTTTGATATAATTTCAAAAACATTTTTAAATGGTACAAAACTATATTTTATATATATTTTTTTAAAACTATAAATATACTTATGTAGTCAAAAAAATGTACACAACAAACCAATTGTTGCACATCGCAACTTCTTTTAGTAGTTATTCTTGTTGTTGGTGGCCAATTTCCCTAAAATAGTTTTTATCGCGTAGCTTGATCTATGCAGAAGCTCCCCAAAATAGAATGCGAAAGATAACGGTAAATGGAACAATGATAAAACAGAAGAGTATAAGCATGTAAAAGTATTTACACACGTTTATTTCGCGTCAAAGATATTTACACATAAATTTTCTTTTTAAATAAAATTCTGGTTAATATTCTTTTAGGCTTAAATCTCATAAGTTACTCTCATAATAATTAGAAAAATTAGTTTTAGCATCAGCTTGGCTAAAAATTGAGTTTAGGAAGGTATAGTCAAATTATAGTCAATTTGACATTTAATGATAGCTAACTGCTTTTAATAATATTAAGTCAAAACTAAATAAATGCTATGGTAGAACTGCATAAACAGATTTGTTGAAACATTTTTTATATTGAGCACCATTAAGTTGCAGGATCCACGTGATATTCGGAAAATAAAAAAGGAAAGATCTTTCAGAATATTAAATAATTCAGACCGATTTAATGTGATATTAATATCACATCACCAAATCCAAAAAAAGATAACTAGATAGACATATAGACTGACAGAGTCACATATATCTAATAGGTAGTTGTGCCCTTTTCTTCTTATGTTCTTGTGGTATATTTAATTAATAATAATAAATATAAATGTTCTAAACGAACCTTGTTATTAATCTGAAGACTAAAAAGTCCGTAAAACATAGTTCCAAAATTAATAAGCTCTTTAGTATACTCTAGAGTAAATAAATGTTTTTTATTTTATTTTATTTGTTTTTATTTTGCCATCGCTATTTTACTGATGTTAATATGATTAAATAAAAGGATTTTTCTTAAATCTTCCATTTAGTTGTCATATGATTGATTGATTTAACGTAGATTTATGACGGTTTTGACTTCAACTTTGCTTTTTTTGCAATTATTCTCCTTTTTAATTAAATTGTAGTAAGACTACCAAAAAAAAAAAACTGGTATGATTTAAAAAATTGTAGACTAAAATATTACATTTTTATTTTTTTTCGAGTTTTAGCCGAGTTTTGGCAAATAAATCCATAATATTCAGTATTTTAATATATATATATATATATATCAGAGAACGGCAGGGGTGCCTGTTTCGACAACTCCATTCACACTTGTCAAAATTTTGGTGCCGGTGTTTCTTACCACCGCACAGTGGTCGGGCCCATAGGCCAAAAATAAAAAAATTGATTTTGAGCTATTCAAGCGAAACATGGTTTTTCTATCAGCTGATTGTCCAAAGTTTACCATGCAATACGGTCTACTTGGAATTTCTAACGGGACTTTCTGAAAATAGATTGACAAAAGCGTTTTTGTATTCATGCACTTTTAATTTGTCAGCAGTGGAGTGCACAGACCAAATTTAAAAATGTAAACTATAATATAAAACGCTGTTGAACCAAAAAAATTGGACTGGATATGGTAGATAAAGGTATATACTTTATTTGTACAGAAAAATATATATATAATTTGTGTTGTGTTTCGTGTAAATCTTTGTTAAAAAAGTGCGTCTTTTTAGTTCGTAAATGTTGGGTTTACGTAAAGTTTTAAGTAGTTTCCCCCCGTTGCCCCCAAATGAAATTTATGTGCCGTCATTAACTGATATTTAAAGATTATAAAAATGTTTACTTTAGCTGCGGCTACCTGCGGCTGCAAATTTGCCATTACAAAACAAATTACCCTAATTTTTTAGCCAATAATCCGGGTTGTAATAGAAAATCGGGAAAAAATTTTAAAAATAAAAACGTCACCTGAGTACCTCGGAGCACTTATCCTTTAGTGAATACAATACATTTTTTTGATATCTGATGTTTTTGTGGACAGCTAGGATAGGATGTACACCGAAAATAAACTTTTTTTGTGGGGACTCAGGAGATTCGCTATTACTCGTAAGCATGTAAATATTTTTTAATACAAAAATTAAAAAAAAATTGCTCAAATGTTGTGTTATTATATGGTATTTAACTCATTAAGCTAATTTTAGCCGTTTCGCCACAACATTTTTTTGAAAAGTAGTGAGTTTTGCATCCAATTAACCTTACCCCCCTTAAGCTGTGTAAGTTTGTTGCTGGACAAAATAAACACACAATATATAAGTGCATAATTTTTTTTTTTACTTTTGGGCACTTATATTTCACCAACGTTCTCATTAAGAGATCAAAAACTAAAAAATTAAAGTTAGGTCTTGGAAAAAAATAGTTTTATAAAAATGTTGTATGGGAGCTATAAGATATAGAGATCCGATTTTAACCAAATTTGGTAAGAATGCATGAACCTGTACCAAACATATAATCTGTGAAATTGGTTAAGATATCTTGAAAAACAAAAAAGTTTTTCATATTAAGTATGGATTTTTAACAGATTGTTCCTATGGCAGCTATATGATATAGTCGAGCAATATGGCCAATTTTTTGTGGATATACTTAAAACATTTTTCTAGATTTTTGGTGAAAGTTTCATAGCGATAGCACATCTAGAAGTATTTATGGCCGCGGCTCCATACAAGCTCGACCACTGTGCACCGGCAAATAAAGTAAACGAGTCGCACACACATAAACTTGCACGAGTATAACGAGTGGCATGTATACCGAGCACCCGATTACGTTTTCAGCGATTGTTTTTATTCATTTTACACCCGGTACTTTTCGTTGCTCGGTGCCGGTGGCACTCACACACATAACTAAACGAGCGAGTAGTTGAAGCACACATAAGTAAACGAGCGAGTGGGTAAAGCACACAAAAAATACTCGGGTGTTTTGAAGTCACCCGAGTAGTTTTTGTGTGCTTTACCCACTCGTTCGATTAGCATTCAGTTTTTTTACTATGTGTCGAAAAATAGAATGAACTATGTACCATATACATATATGTTATTATTTTTGGTTAATTAAAAGAACAAGAAATCAGGAAATGTATACTGTATTTATAATTTACTTAAATGAATTTTGGTTGTACCAGATTGCAAAAGGAATCACAAAAATAAACGAGAGCATCTAGTCACCGGGTGTTGTTTTAGGCTCGAGTATTGTGTTCTCGCTTTTACTCACTTCTCTTTCGAGCATTTCTTGCTCAACTTGTTGACTCGTAGACGAACTACGCTTGTGTGCACAAATATACGAGAATTATTGTCGAGTGTTTACTCGCACCCTATTCTCGTTGCCGAAAAATAACTCGGGTGTCAAAAATACTCGGTGTTTATCCGGTGGTTTGCTGCCGCTCTCTGATATATATATATGTCGGAAAGTTGGTTTAAGTGCAAATTTGGAATGCTTGTTGCCATGGACAACAGAATTATTCGGCATGCTCAGGCATTGGTAGCCCTGTAGGTGTCGCTGGCGCGCAGCCGCAATGACAGTTGAGTCGGTAACAGGACAAGGACAGAAGACTGTCTGTTAATGAGTGAGGTCTGTTCGTCTGTCGCAACAATAGGAGACAGTGAGAGAAACAGCTTGAGATTGTCTAGGATTGACGTCTGAGTGAAAATTAAGAAAAGGTGAAAGGGCCACAGGAAAAGTGGCGTGAGGACAGATTGGATTAGACAGCGCAGGCGAAATAACGGTTATCTCCGACATATACATATTTTTTTGTAAATTCTGTAGCAGCGCGAATCATCTTTAAACGTGTATAAATAATAAACGTGTGTAAATACATGCTTCTACTCTTTTGTTTTTATTATTTCCCCATGTACCGATATCATTCGCATTTCTTTTTGGGTTGCTTCTGCATAGATCAAGCTACGTGATAAAAAATATTTTACTGAAATTGGTTAACAACAACAAGAATAAGAGAAGTTGGGATGTCCAACAATTGGTTCCATGTGTAAATACTTTTGACTACCTGTATATTTGCTGAACAACAACAAAGTACCTATTAATATTATTTTTACAGATACAGTTTTCCATTCCCAGATCTACATTTTTCTCAACATTTAATGATCGTTCCTATGGTAGCTAAATGATATAGTCGTCCGATTTCCATAAAATTAAAACCGAAATTCTGAATAATACAAAATGGTTAAATCTTAAAATAAATGAAAAAAACATTAAAAAAACAGCGAAACTAGAATTTTTTTCTAAAAAAATTTCCGATTGCTTTGATGGCAGCTATATGATATTGTCGTCCGATTCGGCGACTAATATACTAGTAAAAAAGCAAGAAGACTATCTGCAAAATTGCATAAAAACGGTTAGACGGATAAGGCATGGATATATCGACTCGGCTGTTAAAGCTGATTAAGAATATATGTACTTCGTAGGGTCGGAAGCGACCCTTCACTGCGTTGAAAACTTCTGACTTAATTCTCCTGCCGGTTCTAGAGCGCTCATTTATTGGCTTTTGGAGTAAATTTAAGACAGCCTGAAGCCAGTTCACAATATATCTTAGTTTAGCTATGTATAGTATGTTTTATTTTTCATGATACTATTTATATATATATTTATTTTGACAGGTGATTGACTTTGGTTCGTCGTGTTTTGAAAATCAACGAATCTACACATATATCCAGTCACGTTTCTATCGCGCTCCCGAAGTTATATTAGGCTCAAAATATGGCCGAGCCATTGATATGTGGTCATTGGGTTGTATTTTAGCAGAGTTGCTATCGGGGCATGCCCTATTTCCGGGCGAAAATGAAAGCGATCAACTGGCGTGCATTATTGAAGTGTTGGGAATGCCAAATAGGAATATATTAGCCAGTTCGAAGAGATCAAAATCATTTTTTAGCCCAAAGGGATATCCCCGCTACTGCACTGTTCGCACCATGTCCGATGGTATGGTGGTTCTAATCGGTGGTCAGTCCCGCAGGGGCAAGCCACGCGGTCCACCTTGCTCCAAGAGTTTATCTAAGGCGCTGGATGGATGTAAAGATCCGCTGTTTCTTAATTTTATACGCGGTTGCCTAGAATGGGATGCAGAAAAGCGATTGACACCATCAGAAGCGTTGAAGCATCCTTGGCTGCGCCGTAGACTGCCCAGGCCGCCTAGCACTACAAGTGGCGGTTGTAACACGAGCGGAAATCAGTCCCCAGTAACAGGTATTATAAGGAAGAGATATATAATATAATAATACATAAAAATAAATATGTTTATAATAAAAATATATGTTTTCCAGGTGTCAATAAAGGGTCCGCAAATGAAGTAACAAATATAAATTCCTCAACATCCGGTACATCCATTTCGTTATCCATTGAAAGGGACAACGAAAATAGTCATTGCGATTTAAAGCTCACGAAACTGGCCAACTTAAATGTCAACGAAGGCGAATTAATAACAAAAAAAGATACAGATATCTTGGCAGAAGGTTTAAGAAAAGCATGCGTTAATGATATCTCCACACGATTATTATTACCTTCAACAACAACAACGTCAGCGCATTCAGCGGATTCTGGTGAAACATCTAGATTTTATCCAGCTTCTATGCCATATTTACCGCATTTGATGAACAATAATGGAATGAATAGTAAACAGAACTATTCAATTTTTTACTTTATTAAATGTATAAATATATATATGTATTTTTTTAGGACTCACTGGCTCCCTAAACAGCTCGGCCAACTCTCTCCTCCAACTAGAGAATGTCACAAATTTGGATATCTTGCAAGATTACTCCTCGACCTCAAGCACGCCCAATTTAAAAACAAAAGATGCTGGATCTGGATATGCTTTAGATACAGCTAATGAGTCTTTGGCTAACCTAGCTAGTAGTGGTTATGTCTTGGATAAATCTATTAAAATTATTAGTGGTAACTCTAACCTAACAAATATAAGAAATGATATGTAGCCAATTCCTGAAAATATCATACAATTTGCCATTTTAAAGATCATAAAAAGCTTAATTTGATTTATTATTTAAAAAAGGCACTGCCAGTATAAAAGTGATACCAAACTAATAAATTAAACATCAAGTCAAGTCGCACACATAAATACTAAAAAAACAAAGATCTCACAAGGATTAAAATTTACAAATTTAAGTATGATTGCATTTTTATTACAAAACAAAAAATTGCTACATACATGTTACACACAGTTTGGGTTATAATGTTGCATAAAGAACCTAACTTAATCAAATAAATAAAAATATTTATATATATATATATATATATGAATAAATATGTAGAAGAATTTACCATACACTGCTAATGCTAATGCAATTCTGATAAGTTTTCGGGTTTTTAAAGATTAAAAAGCTTCTATATAGGTTGAATATGTCAATAAAATCATAAAATCATTTTAAAGCAAGGGTCCTAAACAATTCCATTTTCCATTTTATATCAACATAAATTTATAAATAAATAATAAAACAGACCTTAGAAAAAACGCTATAATGGAGCATTCTAATGTCTGCCATCTTTCCTTTTTTAATTGGAAGGATCTGTATTAATTTAAGTTAATTGTAAAGTCCCCTTCAAGATATGAATAGGAACGGCTTTAAAATGTAATTTGTAGTAAACAAAAAAAGCCTTATATCAATATCTGATTGCATGCTAATTACCAATAAAAAGTAACTTAAAAGAAAAACTATAAATAAAATTTACAAAAGATGACGCGAAGAAAAAAATTTATCTTAGGCACGGTATCGAAGGGTAAAACCTGGATTCAAAGGAGAGAAAAAACGAGAGGCAAATAGTTTCAAATGGATGTTCTTGATTATGAGAGGGTACTCTTTTAGTATTTTCAGAGAGGGGTGCGTCTTATCCGCATTGATATTGAGTCCTACCTTCTCCGCCCACTCACATTTCTCCCTGAGCGTTGTTTCCATGATCGAACTGAGGGTCGATGGACAGACTTCCGTGATCATTATGCCGCATAAGCTGTTATTATTGGTGCGCTCTTTCTCACCATGGCACACTGGTCCCAAAGTCAAAAATTTGTGCAGTAATTAGAAAAATGGAGATATACGCTTGAAACTTGGTACAGTTAATGGTTGTTGGATATAAAAAGCCTGTGCAAAAATTGTTTGCGATCGGGCCACGCCTTCCTTACCTCCCCTTATAAACAACAAAATTACTCATACGTCCGTTTGTCAATTGATATTGCTTTCAGTTTTACATGGCTTAGATTTTAGTTTCTTATCAGAAAATAAATATTTAAAATGAAAAAATAACTAAAATAGAAAATGAGGAAAGTTTTCGGCTAATTTTATTTATTTTCTTTATCACATATATTTATTAAATTAATCATTTTCTACATCTAAATCAAAAGAATAGTCATTAGTAAATTCAGTTGTGTCCAAGTCATCTCCATCATCATGTGCATCATCAAATCATCAAATGTATCTGGTATACAATCTTCAAAATATTGTTTGTACAAACTTTGGCCAGTTGAACCGTCAAATCCATAACTGGCAATTAATTTCATATTACAAATATTTGGATAAACGTCAAATATGTCTTTTTGTAATTGTAATATACGTTCGACAGTGTGATTAAGCATGTTTTGTAGTGAAACAGAAGCGACAGACTCCGTAATATTTATTCCTTTAGGCCTGCACTTATCTTTTGCAGCGATAATTTTTTTGTAGCTCGGATAAATGTCGCAATTCCAGCATTTACTTTGCAGCCTTATGCTCATATACTGTTTTTTTGTAAAGCCGTTTTCAATTAAAAAGTCTAAGGCTTCTTCTGGAGTGAAAGGTACAGGCTCTGCTTTGGAAGATACTTCCTCAACGGTCAATCGCGCCTTTTTTGCAGCCAAGTTTGCTGCATGAGCAAGAAGATTAACGTCGTTATTATTTTTAGATGAAAGATCGGCAGCTAATCTTTGCTTTAATCGGCAACTTCCTGCATCATAGTTTAGTCGTGGGCGTCCTGCATTTTTGGGGGCCACTTCCATAAAATCAGATGGTAATAATTTGATTTTGAAACGTAATGCGAGCCAATTTTCATGCTTCTTCTTAAGTCTTTAAACATCCCGCTTACAATTGTTTAACCGTGTTTTTAATGCAGCAACAAAGTTTGCTATTTTATTGTCTATGGGGTTCTTTATATGTTCCTTTACTGTTTTAATAATATGCTGCAGCACAAAATCATAAATACTTTTATTTTCACGACCATTTGCCAGCCAAACCTCTACCATTTCAGCATAGCTCAAATCGATGTTGTCTGTCAAAAAACAATATTTCATGGAATCGGGCAAAAACGGGCAAAAAAAATTAGTTTAATCAAAAAATGTATATGTTAAAGATAACATCTGTATCAATAGTTTCTTAAATACGATTAAATACTATATACCTTTATTCCACGGAACACGACAAAAGTTAGGTTAGAATTGTTAAAACACATAACATCACAAAAACACATATTAATAAAGAAATTACACATATAACAAATATTGCAATATTACATAATATTTCACATACCTGCATAATTATCATCCATTTTGAATTATAGCAATCGAGATATTAGATTTTACACAATTTGTTTTCAAACTTTGCATTAATTTCGCGAGAAAGCAATGCCAAAGTTTGCGGTAAACGATTAGCTGATTTCCAGGGCTGCCAGCGATCGCAGGGATGCAATTTCAATTGAAACTCTATTATTTTCAATTGCCCTGAATATTACTCTATCGCAATAAAATATTGTTTTCGCCCAACTCTTAAAAAAGAAAATTGGATTCTTGCACAAATTTTGGACTTTGGGACCAGTGTGCATGGAAGCGGTGCCCCAATCTGATTGTATCCGACGGCAAATCAGAAGATTTCTGATCCACAAGTTGATAGCGGGGGGCGTGTTGGTCGCTTCTAGGCGATCCATTATTGCGTCCATGCTAACGTTGCATGTATATATTGCTGTATATATTGCATTAAAGCCATGGGGTGATCACTTCCTGGGTCACCTGCAGCATGGCTGGGAATATTTCAACTAGGCCTGGTGCTTTTATTCTCGCAAATGAGTCTATAGCCCCGTGGATTCTACTAGAGGATATTAGATCTTTTGGGAGATGCTCTTCTCCAGTTGCTAGGTCTTGGTGCTTATTCGCATAGGGTACCTCAGTGCATCCTGGGAAATGCGCATGCATTAGTGCTGTTAGGGTACACTGGGTATCAGTACACTGATCTATAAGGTTTTTGACCACTTTATGTGGTATTGTCATTTTTTTTTTAAATGCTCTTTTTAAAAAAAAAATTAGTGAGATTGTATTAACCAAACATTAAAACTCTTATGCCCCATACTCAAAATGGCAATACTTAACAGCATATGTTAGCAACACAGCTGCAAAATACGCTGTTGCATCCGAAAGCACGTCCGCTAAGTTTGCAATTTTTACGAAGTGATCTTTGGTGTAAGACACCATCTGTAAAGGAAAAAACTAATAGACACTGATTTCACAGGTTTTAACTACATGTTAAATGCATTTATTGTTTAAATTGTGCGTGTTTATACTGATATTTTGTCATTTTATAAATGCATCTTAAGCTGAGTTTTGAGGAACAAATTTCAACTTTGGGAAGAGTTTTGAAATAGAAGTTTGCATTAGTTTTCAGTGCGTCCAAATGTATGTTGAAGCATTGTCAATTCTGAGCAAAAAACTATTAGTCTTAATGTGTCCTTTGGCGCACTATTGGTGCAATTTTAATGTTCTTTAGATAATGTATTAACCCGGTTTTACGCACCAAAAATACAAATAATTACGTTCGTTTTACACGTATATTTTCTCGCTGTGCTCTGCACACTTTGCCTCGGCGAATAAGACTGACTTAGCTTTTACAATGACAGTCCCAACATAAATGTAAATCCAAAGCCAACTTGATTAGCTCGGAAGTACAGGTTCCTACATCCCTTCCTTATTGACGAGCTTCAGCTTCAGCCCTTTCTTTGGAATCCTATGTCGCCTCAGTAGTCGCTTCCATTTCCTTAGATATCTCCGGTATCCTGAAGTTGGAGGGCTGCGGAACATCACCTGTACTCCGGGAGTGTGAAGAGTGATCGGCGGTATCAGCTGGTAACTGTAATGGTGGAATCTTTTTCACATGGCTCACGTTTCTTGTCAAGGTCTTGCCTCCACTCGCTATTCTTACAATATCTCCCTCTCTTCCTTCTACGACGTATTCAGTGATGTCAAAATTCAGTGTAAGTTTGTGAGGTAATATTACATTTTTAAGAAAAACCTTGTCGCCTACTTTAACATCAATCTCCCTAGCCCCTCTCCTCTTGTCGGCATATTCTTTCCCTTTCTGTTTGTTTACTAAATCCCGGTCTCTTTCTGCTGAATCACTGTATTCGCCTACCAAATCCTGAACTCCCGGGATTTTGTCTCTTATCACTCGATTGAACATCAATTCTGTTGGTGCAGACCCTGTGGTTCCATGGGGAGTAACATTATACATCATAACAAATGATTGAATTTCTTCCTTGAGGTTATTCTTGTTGGTGTACGCAATTTTCAGCCTTTTCACTAACGATCTGTTCATGTTCTCAACTTCCCCATTAGCTTGAGGCCAATAAGGTGGCGATGTTACTTGCTCTATTCCGCATTGCTTACAATATTCTTAAAATTCTGTACTGACATATTGTCTTCCATTGTCAGTCTTTAACTTTTTAGGATAACCTAATCTGGAGAAAATTTCTTTCATGGCTCCGATTAACGAAATTGATGAGATCGATTTAAGAAATTTGTATTCCATATACCTGGAGTAATAGTCGATGAAAACTAAAATGTGTTCGTGGTTTGGCAATGGTCCCAAAAGGTCGGTAGCTACATAAATCCATGGACCCTCTGGAAATGTTGTTCGCTTCATCGCGGTGGGGTTTAAGACTTGCGATACCATTATGCAATCTCTGCAGGATTTGACTAATTTCTCCGCATCCCTATCTATTTGTGGCCACCATAGCTTGGACCGTATTCGCCGTTTCATAGCCGACTCGCCTGGATGACCTTCGTGTGCCAACGTTAAGATCGCCTGTCTTAACGACGATGGAATGACTATGCGGGTTCCTCGCATCATGGATACAATTAATGAGAGTTCATGTCTGAACGGAAACAGACTGTTTGAAGATGATGCGTTCCACGATTCATCCTGCAGGCACGACATTGCATCTACTATCTCTTCGTCGAGAGTGCTTTTCTCTGCAATTTTAGTTATAGTCATAGACGACGGAGTCGCGTTTTCAACTACATGTAGAATGCTATGTTCGCCTTTCATGTCGTAGCAATACCCTGGGTTTATTTTACATAGTCGCGAAAAAGTATCCGCAATGTTCTCCTTTCCAGCTTTATACTTGACTACGAATTTGAAAGCTTGGAGGTGGAGGAGCCATCTTTCGATCTTTGGATAAACTTTCCCACATTTGTTACTAGCCCTAGAAAACTCCGGGTCTCTTCCTTGTTCTTTGGAGGATGAAAAAGATTTAATTGTGTTAATCTTCTCTGGATCGGCCTCAATGCCTTGGCTCGATAATATGTGTCCCAAAAAGGTCAGTTTAGAGGCTTTGTAGACACATTTCTTTTCATTTAATACCGCATTGTTTTCTTTTATAATGCCGGAAACTCTTTCCAATGCCGCATCATGCTCATCCTCAGTTTTTCCAAAAACGATAATGTCATC